TGTTTGCTCAGAGCGCTCATCATCAGTCTTTGCTTGTCTTGGTTCTTCAGAAGAGTAATCCAGTCATCTGTATTAAGATTAGGTGTTCTACTGTTCTTCTCTTCTAGTTGTCGCTGCTCGCCCAGTTAGCAGCATTGAGCTCTGTTCTCTGTGTGCATGGTAGTTTTTCCTCATAGCCTATACAAGAAGATCATGCAACAGTGTAAACAGAAAGAATACAAATACATACATATTAAGATCACAAGCAATATTGACATTGACAACTTTCAAAATTAGCCAGCCTAATTAGTAATCAGAAATTATGTAAAGACTAATTTATTTAAAGTATAAATATGATACCTTATGAGTATCTTTTTTTTCTGTAATTTAAAACATATACTTAATCAATTATATACATGTTAATAACACAACTAAAGGCTAAATTATGTGAACAAACTTTGATGTTGGCTTGAGAAGCCTGAACCTCGAACCAAGACTGGAACTCAGGTCGCCCTGAGCACAGCTCCAGCATCACAGCGCTCGTTGCCCACTGGGCTATTGCTCTGACTTAAAGCTCATTTTCATCAGTTATATTGTCTATGGATCGTTACATTTCGTTACGTTACAATTCTGCTTGTTTTAAATCAGATACAGATAAAGTAGCACTGCATTTGAATGCATTGGCGATAGAACAATTTCTAGAGTGAATTAATCATACCTGTAAGTGCAGCGTCTCTTTGCTATTAGTAGTGAAGCTGTTATTTTAGTCAATAAAGTTTTAAATATGGATATTTTTCTTACACAAACGCATCGCTTCGCTTCAAAAGGCCTTTATAACCCCGCCAGAGCCGTGTGGATTACTTTTATCATGGATGGATGCATGAGCATGATAGACTTAAAACAGAAACGGCCATTCACTGCCATTATAATGCTCGGAAGAGCCGGGACATTTCTTTATATAACTCCGATTGTATTCTGAAAAAGAAGAATGTCATATACACCAAGGATGACTTGAGGGTGAGTAAATCATGAGCTAATTCTCATTTTTGGATGAGATCTTTTATGGTCTGTGTTAGGTGCTTTTAGCACTAAAGCTCTAGGAGTTAAGAGTTGAACATTTTTGTCTCAGAAATCAGAATAATAATATTTAGTTTAAATAGGTTAACAATATGTTGGCTTTCCTAAACCAACATAATTATTTCCTAACATTTGAACAAGATTACTATAATCTGTACTATAATATAGAGGTAATTCTATGAAGATTTACAACAAAAGTTACAAAACCACTTACCAGTTGCAAGGCTCTTCAGCTCCCATATCCATTCACCTCTGCAGGTTTATGTTTGCTTCAATATTTGCCAGATTGTGTCCTTTACATTGACCATCAGCACCAGAGTAATTACCTGAAATATTTTAAAACATGGTCGGTCAACATACAACGATATTACAAGCACATACAATATTTGCTAGAAAACACAAAAGACTGAAAACGTTTTAGACTGAATGCTCTTTCCAATTTTCCCATTACCTCTTTATGAATTACTGAAATATTAACAACTTTTACTTTCAAATGACATATTAAGATTAACACTTTTAAGTAGCAAAAAAGTATTCGTACCTTTGTTGTAGCCTAAATGGAGAGTTTATTGTGTTTACTGTGTTAGCTATATTCATCTTCAAACAGGGAGTTTGGAGTCTGGATTAAAACAAATCTAACCGTTAGCTGTTATTCAAAAGTAACATACACTCAGATTTTATGCGACTGTCATACAATTCTAAGAAAGTAAGATCTAACACTGAAAGACATTGATATCAAGGATAAGAGAAAGCTATGTAAACTGAAAAATACACACAAAAAAACTTACCGTTGTGAAAGAGTTCTGTTCCGTTGACCAGGAGTTCTGTTGTTTGGGCCAATGTGTCAAATAGCCAATTTAGACAACGGACATTTTGCGCCGATTTCTTCAACAAAAACGTTACTTTCTTCGCGCTGTTTGTCGATTTCAAATGTTCTTACGTCACGGGAAAATCACGTTGTGATTGGTGGTTTTAAACGTCAATCTACAGTGGTCACCAATCAGCTTCTCGTCTCTTGTAAACACATTTCGCGCAACAGTTCACACAGTTCAGAGTAATATCCTCAAAACACTTCACGAATGCTGTTTTGATAATGTTCCTCTTTTATGGAACATTATGCTAATATTTTATGGGTTAAAAGAATTCTACAATCTGTTACCTAAACAGCTTCCCTAAAATATCCTTAAAATGTTATGAGCTTTTATTAACACATCATATTATGAGATTTTATTAACACATCATATTATGAGATTTTGTCATCGCAGGCCAATAATGTCCTCAAAACATTTGATGAATGTTGCTTTGATAATGTTCCTCCTTTGTTTTTGTGCCAATGATTTATAAAAGATAACAACATCCCTAAAAAATCCTACAAATGTTTCATGCAAAATGTTCTACTTTTGTTAAAAAGTCATTTGAAAGGAATGTTTTATTAAAAATATTTTATCATCACAGGACTAAATAATATCCTCAACATTTTACGAACGTTGATTTGATAATGTTCCTCCTCTGTTATTATGGAACATTGTACCAATGTTTTATTGAGAACATTGTATGATCTGTTATCTCAACAACATTCCCAAAACATCCACAAAATGTTACAGTTATAATGTTCTAGTTGTGTTAACATGTCACATTACAAGAACGTTTTATAAAAAACACTCCATCATCTCAGGCCTCAATAATATCCTCAAAACATTTTACGAACGTTGATTTGATAATGTTCCTCCTCTGTTATTATGGAACATTGTACCAATGTTTTATTGAGAACATTGTATGATCTGTTATCTCAACAACATTCCCAAAACATCCTCAAAATGTTACAGTTAAAATGTTCTAGTTGTGTTAACATGTCACATTACAAGAACGTTTTATAAAAAACACTCCATCATCTCAGGCCTCAATAATATCCTCAAAACATTTTATGAACGTTGATTTGATAATGTTCCTCCTCTGTTATTATGGAACATTGTGTCAATGTTTTATTGAGAACATTGTATGATCTGTTATCTCAACAACATTCCCAAAACATCCACAAAATGTTACAGTTATAATGTTCTAGTTGTGTTAACATGTCACATTACAAGAACGTTTTATAAAAAACACTCCATCATCTCAGGCCTCAATAATATCCTCAAAACATTTTATGAACGTTGATTTGATAATGTTCCTCCTCTGTTATTATGGAACATTGTACCAATGTTTTATTGAGAACATTGTATGATCTGTTATCTCAACAACATTCCCAAAACATCCACAAAATGTTACAGTTATAATGTTCTAGTTGTGTTAACATGTCACATTACAAGAACGTTTTATAAAAAACACTCCATCATCTCAGGCCTCAATAATATCCTCAAAACATTTTACGAACGTTGATTTGATAATGTTCCTCCTCTGTTATTATGGAACATTGTACCAATGTTTTATTGAGAACATTGTATAATCTGTTATCTCAACAACATTCCCAAAACATCCTCAAAATGTTACAGTTATAATGTTCTAGTTGTGTTAACATGTCACATTACAAGAACGTTTTATAAAAAACACTCCATCATCTCAGGCCTCAATAATATCCTCAAAACATTTTATGAACGTTGATTTGATAATGTTCCTCCTCTGTTATTATGGAACATTGTACCAATGTTTTATTGAGAACATTGTATGATCTGTTATCTCAACAACATTCCCAAAACATCCACAAAATGTTACAGTTATAATGTTCTAGTTGTGTTAACATGTCACATTACAAGAACGTTTTATAAAAAACACTCCATCATCTCAGGCCTCAATAATATCCTCAAAACATTTTACGAACGTTGATTTGATAATGTTCCTCCTCTGTTATTATGGAACATTGTACCAATGTTTTATTGAGAACATTGTATAATCTGTTATCTCAACAACATTCCCAAAACATCCACAAAATGTTACAGTTATAATGTTCTAGTTGTGTTAACATGTCACATTACAAGAACGTTTTATAAAAAACACTCCATCATCTCAGGCCTCAATAATATCCTCAAAACATTTTATGAACGTTGATTTGATAATGTTCCTCCTCTGTTATTATGGAACATTGTACCAATGTTTTATTGAGAACATTGTATGATCTGTTATCTCAACAACATTCCCAAAACATCCACAAAATGTTACAGTTATAATGTTCTAGTTGTGTTAACATGTCACATTACAAGAACGTTTTATAAAAAACACTCCATCATCTCAGGCCTCAATAATATCCTCAAAACATTTTACGAACGTTGATTTGATAATGTTCCTCCTCTGTTATTATGGAACATTGTACCAATGTTTTATTGAGAACATTGTATAATCTGTTATCTCAACAACATTCCCAAAACATCCTCAAAATGTTACAGTTAAAACGTTATATCTTAGTTTACATTTAACGTTATAGGAACATTATTTGAAATGAGAAAACATCCTTAAAACATTCTTTGAACATTACATTCAAATGTTTTCTTTAAAACATTAACCAAACTTGTAGGGAATGTTAGCCAAAGTTCTGAGAACGTTCCCTGCTAGCTGGGTATATATTCTCTTAAATGTTATGAAGAAATATTTAAAGAAAATCCATGAATTTAGATGCTTTTGCAAGTGAATCGATGTCTGTATGTTATTGCATGAATACAGTCGTAGTTTTCCTGTCATGTCGTTTTCGCCATTTACCCCATCATCCTAATGCCTGATATTTTTCTTTCACCTATTTTTTTTTATTATAAATTCTTATTCTTATTATATTAATGTAACTTCTCAATTTGTTGTAAGATGTGTATGTTAATCATGTAGAATTTTCCTATTGTTGTTGTTCATTTGATGTATTTGTCCCTGGATAATGTTCTTTATGTAATTGTTATCGAGCATTAAAACAATAGATTGTGGTAACTGTATGGGGCGTGACGCGTCGCGCGCAGGGTTGGGGGCGCGCCTCGCCTCACTTTAAAACGACGCTCTTCTCAGCGAGCGATAAACGCGTCAGACTGACTGAATGAAACATGAGGGACCGCACGCAAGAGCTCAGACGTGTAAGTATATGAGTTTGTTCAGTCAGACTGAACTTTACATCGATGCTATGATGAACACGCACAGCTCATTCTGTCGACAGCGTGCTTTTTAGAAGATTTCATATTTCAGAATCTTTTAGATGTTTAATGTGTTTGTCGTGTAATAGGTGTAATTAAGGCGTTGTTGTGTTTGAAGTTGGTAAATATGAGAATGAGCACTATATGAACATGTTTTATTATGTAGGCTACTTTCACAATGACTGATGAAGTTCATGTATGGCGTTGAGCAGAATAGAAAGACTGATGAAAGTTCAGAAAATGTTAATTCCTGAGTTTGCATGACTGCACGTGAAAAGAGCTGATGTTTATTTACCACGTTATTTGAGACTTAAATTGAATGTTAATGTTAAAATATATATTTTTTTCTGTACGTGTAGACGTCTCATTTATACGGTAGGCTATAAGTATTATTCTGTATGGATTGATCTGAGTAGAGCACATTAATCATTAACCAGTCTTTCCTCACTATCACTGAGTAAACAGAGGACTAGAGAGGGATTCTGTCCTGTTGTGATTCTGGTTGTGTCTCATGTATTGACACACTGGCTTTACTTCTGTAGTTCATGTCAGGTTCAAAACAGCAGCCCACTGCTAGTGTCATTACATATGACACATTGTATAAATGAACACTTGTTATCGGCCACCCCGTGGAGTGTCTTCTCTATGACCTATTCATGGATCATGGGTGTGAATTACAGGTTGCGAGCAGCAGGATGAAATATCTAGTGTGTGAGACGCTGTGATACTGCTCTTCTTCTGAGTGTGTGTTTGTGCTGGTTTAGGCCTGTCGTGGTCAACTGACTCCCAAAGCTTTTCATATTTTGTGCGTCGGTCAGTTCACAGCAGTGACAGAAATGAACTTTTTCATTAAGGGGCAGTATTTGCCACATTAAACTGATTAATGTTTTAAAACTTATATTTTGAATATTGAAATTTGAAATAATTCAAATAAAATATGAAATGATACTTTAAATATTAAACTAAAACAGCCAGCAGGTGCCGGCAAATCACTTTCTTAGTGAGTGAGTCATTAATCTATTCAACCCGTTCCTTCAAAGGTTGATTCATTCAGGAACGACGCAAGTGACTGTCGTTTGCTGCGTCCCAATTCAACTACTTAAACTCTTTTTAAGTTCACAATGTTGTTGCAGCTAAAATATAACACAGATAAATTTAAATGCATCTTTTCCATCAGTTTAGACATTGATTATTAATGACAAACCCATTTTAGGGTGTCTCTACTTAAATGCCCATCTCACAAACTCCACCATGTTTGTATTTCTTTTTATTTGTGTTTTTAGTTCTGAGCCAAATCCTTCTCCAAAACAAGGATAAAGTAGTGCGCTAGGTTTCTGGGCCCCCTGGATAATACGTAATCTGGGCACCAACCCCCAATTATCTTCTTGCCACTTGTAACAACAATCATTATCTATAAGCATATCAATTATTGCATATTTAATAAGAGACAATAAAGAACTAAATTTGAAAGTTTATTAAATTAACTGAAATTATGCATTTATAACTAGGGCTGGGTATCGAGTTTGATACATTTTAGGCACCGCCCGATTTGCCTCGATACCATCGAGTAATCAAAAAATGTCTTGTTGTACCAAGTTTCGTACCGAACAAATTGTAGGCTATGAAAACAAAAACAGTGATAGATCTATTAGGAGTGCAACAGATCCGTACAGACCAGGCCCCACGGTTTGGCACGCATGTGATTCACTGTTTAATTGCAAAGTTTAACCATCACAGAGCGAAAGTTTTACATTTGCACATGTTTTGTCCGGCCAATTTAAACATTCAAGCCATTTTAAACCGCATGAACACCGGTTGGTGTCAGTAGGGCTGCAACTACCTATTATTTTGATAATCGATTACTTGGTCGATTATTTCTTCGATTAATCGGATTTTAAAAAGCCCAATTTTCTTTTTATTGTATTTCTTTTATTGACAAAACACACTATTCTCCATCCTGCCCAATGCTGTCCTTCAAACAAATGTGCCAACTGAATGCTAGGGAAACATAGTGATTATATCTCTGCAAAAGAGCTATAAAGCAAAAGGACAGTTTAAACATGAAAACATTAAAAATGAAGATAATAAAGAAAAATAAAAACTCAGTTTTAACAGATAAGAGGAATGTTCTGCAGGAACAAACACATTCACTCTGGACACAGGAACCTGTTAATGCCATTTCTTAATCCTGTAAATGTAAGAAACGTCTTACATTTATATTCAAATACACGCTGTTATCCCTTTACAGATACCATGTTGACTTTTAAACCTAAATTTAACGTCCAACAACAGATATTTCAGCTAAATGAATATTTTTGGGCTGAATATTAATTGTCTCCCTCTTCACGCTGTCTGATGCGCCGGTGTCAGTTTGAGTAAGTGCAACACTGGACAGTACGAGATAAGCCAACAATTACAACAGTTGAGGAAGATTCACAGATGGCAGACAGTGAATTTATTTATTTGTGAGTTAGACGGTTGCACACCTGCAAAAACAAAGTAATCTGATATTGACTCAAATAAACTACAGGTAATGGGTGGTAAGTGGTTCTCATCAATGGCTTTAACATTTGAATAATAATTTGGTGGACTTGTGTAATAAGAAATGATAAAACCATTGTTAAACATGCATTCTTTCTGGAGTTGCCTGGATGTATTGTTAAAGTTTTTAACTTGCTGTAGCCACATTATAATAGAAATCCAGTTTAATATAGAATCTACAAACCTACATTACTCTGCATTGTGAAGAGCCAGTGTCAAAGTCCAGCACACTTCTGCATGCTTGCAGACAGTTTTCATAATGCATTTCAGAATGGTGGTCAGTGTCTCTTCATAATACAATTATATGAAATACCAGGGGCCGTATTCACAAAGAATTTTATCTTACCACTAGGAGTACTCCTAAATCGCACTAAAATATTTTAGCTAGGAGTTTTCTCTTAAAAGTTATTCACAACGCCTTTCAGACCTACTCTTAGTAAGGAAAAATGACAACTCCTAAACTAAGAGTGAGTCATCGTTGCTATAGATGACGTCAATTCTCATGCACGAGCTTCCTCGCAATGATCACGGTGATCACGGTCTCATCGAAATGCATATATAATGACATGTTTGTGCAGGCCCCAGTGAAGTGTAATTCTAAAAAGGCAGAGAGAGAGAGAGAAAAGTCGTGAATTCAATTAAATCAATGTAGCCTAATACCCCAATGAAAACCGTCACTTGCCTAATAATGAAAAACGACACTTGCATTAACACTTGCTTGGTTAATTGACATCATATTAGCCTAAATAGAAAAATAAACTTAAAACAAGGAAATGTTGCTCGAAGTAATGTAACTTTGAATGACGGTGGATTAAGAACTCGCCAAAACGGAAAAGAAAGCCCAACTGGACGCAGGATCAGTTACTGCTGCTGGCCCAGTTAGTGCTAGAAAAAAAAAAAACATAATAAAAGGGAAATTCGGCACTGGGATATCAAGCAAAACTAAGCGTGAGACATGGGAGAGGATTTGTTTGCAGATCAATGCAGCATTCCCGCTTGTGTCGCGGACGCCGGACGACTGCGAGAGGCGGTGGTATGCGCTACAATCCTTTGTGAATAGGTCTTAGTGAGTTAGGAGTCCTCTCGACTTCTTTTAAGCTGTCCCAGACTTAGGTGCTACTTTTAGGGCTAAAATGCTTCGTGAATTACTCTTAGTGAATAAAATTAGGAGTCCTAAAGTTAGGAGTAACACGCCCATTATTTTTAGGAGTTGCTCCTAAATTCGCCAGTTAGGAGCTACTTTTAGCCTTAAAATTCTTTGTGAATACGGCCCCAGATCGGTAAGTGGCACATACCCCTGTGCTGTTTGGTACTACTTTAATTAGAACATTTCACTTTTTGGTTGTGGCCACCAATATTCATAGTGTCTAATATTCTAAACAGCACAGCTGAATTGTCACACATTGCGTGAGTAACGAATTGAGTTCTCTAACGCGTCGTCTTGTGCTTGAATGGTTTAAAGTCACTTGAATGTTTAAATTGGCAAGACTTCAAAACGTGCTCAAATGATAAAGTTTTGTGGTGACCCAAGTGACAACAATTCTGTCAGCTGTCCCGAGCATCTTTCACACTGTCTCTGGACCATCGGCTTGCAGGACTATCTGGACTACCATCAGACTTCTCTGAGAGTAACATTTTAAGGGATGGAACAAGATTACCGGAAGGAAGGAGTTGGTAGAGATTGCATGTGCATTAGTCGTTCCTTATTTTTAATGTGGGATTGGTGCTGTTGTCAGTGTCCATTAAGTACTTAAGTCTGATAAGCTATAGTAACTCGAAGTTCATTTACCTAAGATGAATCCTGTTGAAGTGAAGTCTTCTGTAAGAGATCAGACAGAGGCTCAGAATGAGGATCAAAACTCCAAAAGAGCATTAGCGAGAAGGAAACGAGGTTAAATTCCACAAAAAAAGGAAAGGCAGACCCAATCTACGTGCACAAGATATCATTATTAATTTACACACTTGAAGGATTAGTTTATTCATAAATGGAAGGTACATAAGGGCATGTAGTTTGTGGTTTTATTTCTCTACTAAAACACTTTAACTTTTAATTTTCACTTCCGATTTGCTGCAGTTATACTGTGTGCATTCACATTTTTTGCTATTGTGATTCTACAGCATGCATCAATTTATTTTTCTTTACTCTTTTTCTTCTTTTATTTTTTCTTCTCTTAATCCAATCATTTGCTGAATCGTATTGTTGTTTTAAGATGTTCACAGAAACAAACAAATACTAGCGTACAGTTTGGACACTAGATGGTGTTCACCAGTTTACACTTACAAATAATCACTCAAAAGTAAAGAGTATGTGTGTTTGACATGTTGTCCGAGGAGAGGGCTCTGAACTGGGTATTTTGGCCCAAACCCAGAATACTTCCCCCGTATCCCTGGGTGGGATAGGA